TGGTCCTGAAGGGATCATCCGCCCTGGATTCCCTGTATTTGGAGTGGTCTGTATTAAACATCATCCTTACTATAGTAGTCCCCAATGAAAACTCAATATTTATCAATAGTAGAATGGAAATGTCATAGAAATTAGAAAGAAAAAAAACAAAGAAATTCTGGTGCACGTGATAACACAAATGCATATGTTGAAAAAAAGGAAACCAGACACAAAGCAAGATGTACTATAATGCTAAAAAACAGGCAGAACTGCCGGGTGGTAATGAGTCAGAACAAGGCTTACGCTGGGGTAGGAGTAGTGGTGAGAGGACCAGAGGATCCGGTATGTTATTACATGTTCTGTGTCTCTTGATCTGGGAGTAGTGGTGAGAAGACCAGAGGATCTGGTATGTATGTTATTACATGTGCTGTATATCTTGATCTGGATGGTGGTTTTCACTGTGTGGAAATTTTACTTGCCTGATACCCAGGGTTCAGATAGAAAGAAAATGTCTGAAAATGAGGATGGCTACATATGTGCAAATGTGCTTGACACAATGGATGTATGTATGGATTGTGATAATAGGTGTAGGAAGCCTTGATTTGAAAAAAAATCATTTAACTGAATAAAACTGGAAAAAAAGGAACATAAAAGAAAATATTTCCCACATTTACATAAATATCAGTATTTCAACTATATCTCTTATTCATAAGCAAACAGTGAATGCTTGAATACAAAGAGAATCATAATCCAGGCTGTTGCTAATTCTGAATAGGAGCACTACAGACATCTGGGGAAGAACTGTTTCTTCGTTATGGGAACTGCCCTATGCACTGGAGGCTGCTTACCAGCATATCTGGTCTCTTCCCATTAGGCACCTTCCAAAATATAACAATCAAAATACTTTTGAACATTGTCAAATGACTATGTGAGGAGGAGTGCAATTGCTGCTATGTGAAAACAATTACTTTAGAATCTAGGATGATAAAACCACTACTTATACTTCTGTACTCATGAATTTAGATTAGATTCTATTTTAACCATCACTATCTATTGCATGCAGAAGTAAAATACATTTCATGTATTTCTTGAAAAGAGAGCACCATGAAGACTACTTATTAATGTTGGTTGTACGTTGGCACTACAGCATGTGTCAGAGACAGGCAAATTCCTCGCTATTTTACACTAGTACTATATTAAAAATGCAACATCTTTCTTGAAAACGTTAGAGCTCAATTTCCCATATGAAAAGTAAAAAATAAAAGCAAACACAGTGATAGTAAACATAAGCAGTCAAGTCACACTGTATTTTTACATATATACTACTTTTATATACATATGTTCACCCTAAATAAACCACAATGCTACACTTACTCTATTAAAATATTTTCAAAAAGAAAACATGAATCTGCTTACTAAGTAAAATGAATAATTAAATTTTTTGAATAGGAA